AGGCTTGTAGAGTGAAATTGCGATTGTTGTAACGAAAGCTGTAGGTATTGTGATAACCATCGTCTTGTACTCGATGATCGAATATCCAAGGACGTCTTAAGAGGAGGTGACAAGCGTCCATTGGTGCTACATCACAGTGAATTTGGTCCTTGAATGTGCCTCCAACAGAAAACGATACAAGAGCGCGACGAGTAATGATCAAGTCTGTTTTCTGATCCAGCCACGCTAGTTTGTAAGGACAAGGGTGGAGTTCTGTTGTCAGCTTGAGTTTGTTGACAACGTCTTCAGCCACAACGTTTTCGCTACTTCCTGAATCAATAATGAATTTACAAATCTTGCCTGCAATAGTACACTTTGAGTGGAAAAGGTTATGTCGTTGAGGGCTTTCACCAACGTGATGTGAAGCAAGACAAACACGCCGAACCATCAAACATGGTCCACTGTCTGCGACAAGGTCCTCGGTTTCCTCAATGGCTTCTGCTATTTCTTCATCATAGATTACCTCGACATCATTGCCAGCAGTATCAAGTAGAAGACCCCTGCGATTTCTTTTTGGACAATTGGATTGACGGTGACCGATCTCACCGCAAGCAAAACAACGAAGTGAAGATGGTCTAGTAGTTGTCTTGTCCGTAAAAGACGCGAGGGCAGTCTCCGTTTGCTGAGGTAGCGACGCATCAGTGGGGTTTGAATTGAGTTGTTGCTGAGTAGGACGGGTCGGGCGAGTGGCAGACCAAGAAAAATTGCTTCTGGTTTGTGTTTCAATGGTGAGTGCTTGCTGGTGAGCTTCCGATAACGCTAACGGATTAAACAAATTGATGGTGTGTTGTATTTGTTGACGAAGATCGGCAGTGAAACGAGCAACCAATTGTCGTTCGGAATCTTGAAGATCAACCCGTGTCAGAAGCAAAAAAAATTCGGTGGAATATTCCGTAACAGAGCGAGTTTCTTGACTAATATTATGTAGACGTTGGAACATGAGCTGATCATAATTGTATGGTAAGAACGTCTTCTTGAACTTCGACTTTAATTTGTTCCAAGCGAGAATTTTTGGTTTCCCGAGGCGAGCTCGAGTGGTCTTCAACTGTGTCCACCATGCCGCTGCTCTTCCACGAAAACGCATTGTCAAGACTGGAACACAACACTCCATCGGAGCCCTTTTGAACTCCAGAATCTCTTCTACTGTGACTATCCAATCGAGTAATTCTTCGGGTGATGAATTACCATGAAATTCTAGTAACTCTGTTTTGAAACCTGCTTCCCATGGAAAATCATCGTGAATTCCTTGGCCATTATCACGTGCAAGTGCACGGTTATTGCGGAGAGGAGCGAAGGGATTATCATCGACTTCAAGCTGCTCTGCTTCGTCGTCTTCTTCATCTCTGTTCTCGCGATGTTGTTCAACGTTGTCGCGAACAGGTGGTGGTGGACGTTGAACATTAAGCGTTTGGAGGGCGGTGGTGATAGTTGCCATCTGGGCTTGAAGCTCAGCAATGGCGTCACAAGTGATTTCTGCTTCGGTTCGAACAGGTGTTCTACGAGGTCTTGCCATGGTGAATGGGAAAAAATTTCGAGGAGCGTAGCAAAGCTCTGATACCAACTTGGCGCAGCGTATCAACGGTAACTCAGCTCAAATCTAGGGATTTTGGTTAAATCTCTAGAGACCTGACTTCTTGGGTTGATGAACTTAATCAAATCAATACAAGGCTCTTGAATTGATGACATAATCGAATCGATGCAAGGCTTTAGAGAAAACTCTAGTTTATTATCTTTCAGAAAACTGAATTTCAAAGCCAATCATACAATCTTTATATAGGTCTTAGGAGGCGGTTTATAATAACCTAACTCTCTTAAAAATAGGAAATCTAATAAAAGGAAATCAAACTAAGGAAAGGAAAACTTAAAAAGCCGACATATGAAAATAGTTGCTTGGTGGTGAAGGTATCATGATGCTGCATCACATATCCTATAAGCAGTTGTTCTTGCAGCAACATGAACTTGATCCTATGAATTGGTAATTTGTAACTTACATTGGTCGATAGCGTTAAGTTGTGGTAAGGTTATTTTTTTCCTGTATCTCTATGCAGAATAATGGTGGTAGCATCTCAGCTACAGTTGCATAGTAAATCCAAGATTTAAGACCTGAAAACGTAGCACAACCAAACCATACATCGCTGAATGTTTTTGAAAGCCGTCAAAAGGAAGCAAAGTTGTTGGTTTTTATGAGCTCTGTATTTCAGAAGAGATGTAAAAAGAGATTGAAAAGTCCATAAAGGGTATGTAAGTTTCATCATCAAACTTACAAAGCTGGATAATGGATTCAGAGAGGTGGAAATTGATTCGATCATCAAACTTACATATCCGTGAGCAAATCGAACAATAAATCAGGAAAATGCCTCTGGTTTCACCCAATCAAGCATCTCTAGTGGCTAACAACCAAAACTCTAGGAGCAAAAGTAATTGAAAAGAGGAACCTTTGGCTTTCTTGTTAAAACAACAAATCTTGTTCTAACCAACTCAGAGACATAAACAGAGACATAAGACACATAAAACAAGTTAAAGGCATAACTTAAAGCTGATGGGTAACATGAAACATACTCGAGAACAGATGCCAAACGAATAAAGCTAATACTTGAAAACATGAAACATACTCGAGAACAGATGCCAAACAATTTACGAAATCTAAAGATCACCGTAACTATTTATCATCAGTCATAAGAAAATATAACAAGGAAAGCATAAGATAAATATGCTCCAACGAAAAATATCAGTCATAATAAACTTTTATTCTCACTAACTCAGATCTCCATGAAATTAGTATATAGCAAATAAAGAAGCGTTAAACATAGCAATCAAATAAATAAATTATATGAGGTGAAACATATAAAACATAGACATAAGGGACACAGAAAACAAGTTTAAAGCATTACTTTATATGATGATGCCTGAAAATTAAAACTCTTAAGAGGAGTGTCGTGAGAGTAAAGGGCGGTTTGGGAGGGTTAACCAACATTTTACTTAACCGATTAACCAATTAATTAAGTAATGGGCCGAGTTTAAATATTGAACTGTTGATTTGGCGGGTTAAGCCTATGCAGTAGTGCAGCGCATGGGTGACTCGTGAAAGCCCATATAGCAAACTATCTTGATGGACCTTCTCCCTTAAAAAATAGAGTTAATATCGTATGGACCGATGACCCACATATCAGATATTAAACTGATAAGAACATATACTACACTTGATCTTAGCCAAAAAGCCGAGAAAGGTATGAATTGAAAGTGATGCTCGACTTCTTTTTATATAGTGCCAAGCTTATGACCAATCTTCTTTAGGTTACCGATGTGGAACTTTAGAAAATAGGCTATTTTCTTACGCACTCAGAGTTTGAACCAAACAATACAGACCACCTCTTCTCTTCAAAGGAAACCTCTGTGTGCTATTTGCTATTCATCGCCAAGTTTTGTATATCCAGAAGAAGAAACTTTGAGGTCGCGATGACTGAATCTCAGGGATCTATCTGCACAGAGGAGGAGGATCTTATCTTATGTAGTTTATATTGCAAAATATGGGTTTTCTTACCAAAACACGATTAAGATTTTGCTTAATTTGAGAGCTTGGGTGGAAATTTCTAGTGTGTATCGACTTCTCTTTGTGCATATACATGAGTCATTTATATATCCAGTTGAAAATTCGAACCAATGATACAGAGAAAAACGGTATAAGAGCATGATTCAGGTAGCTCGCAGACGCAGAGACAACAGAGAGTCACAGATCATATAAGCACTTGTTCTCGCACAGCAACATGAACTTAATCCTATGAATTAGTAACTTGTAACTTACATTGGTCGATAGCGTTAAGTCTTGTAGTAAGTTCATTTTTTCCTGTATCTCGCTGCAGAATAACAATGGTGGTAGCATCTCAGCTACAGTTAGCAAATCCAAGGCTTAAGACCTGAAAACGTAGCACAACATCTCTGAATGTATCAACCGAATTTGAAAGCAGTCAAAAAGAAGCAAAGTTGTTGGTTTTTATGAGCTCTGTATTTCAGAAGAGAAGTATAAAGAGATTGAAAACTCGTATCACATTTCATCATCAAACTTACAAAGTTGGATAATGGATTCAGAGAGGTCAGAAAAAAAAAAAAAAAAAAAAGCCACAGGAAACAAATTTGTTTTGGTCTTGCAAGAACCTGTTTAAGCAGACCCTAAGCGAAACGATGATTTGGTCCTAAACAATTTGTTTTAATACGTTAAACAAATGATATACTACATCTGCTAGACATTAAAACAGAAAAAAATCAAAAAAGTTTGCTTCATGATGATGCGAAACACCAACCAAACAAATATCAAACAATCGTGTTAGTTTTTATATGGGCAAAAATATACTAATACTCTTAAACGATCTCACATTCCTCAAGATCTGGGTTATCCAGAGATTCATCATCATATTCAACATCGTCGAATCTCAAAACCGTTTCTCGTTCCATCTTCTCCAGCGCTTGTCGACTTTTTAACCTAAGGGGTCTTCTCTTCGCTGCCGCTTCGATTCGAGCCTTCTCTTGAAGCTGTTTTCGCTTGAAAAGCTGCTTTTCTCTCTTTATCATCATCATCACTCCATCAGAGCTTTTACTGCTCTCGTGATCAGTTTCCGGTGCTTGGATTTGATGATGATATCTGCGAATCGAATCCTGATTTTTGCCGCGCGAAGAGCTTTGCTTGTAGGTGAGGATGAAGAAGACAACAATGTCGCCATAACTTTGGGGGCAATTTTCTTTTTTACCGTGATCGAGTGCTTATGGAAAGTGTTATCATATCGGAAATCGAGTGTTTATGTAATGGACTATGTGGGTACTGAGGATTATATAATATCATCTGATTACGTGTAAACCCTAGACGGAAAATGAAAAATCGAGGATAAAAGGAAATAGGGAAAAACTGTAAAAAAAAAGGAAATCGTCTACCGTTGTTTTGGTTTTTAAATCAAATTTCAGGTTGTGGTTTGGTACAATTGGGATAAACGAACCGGGGAGCATTGGATTTCTCAACTCGGGTTTAAGAAATCGGATCAGTATAAACAATCACGACTTATATAAAACCAACAACGATCATATTACTTATAAACCAGACAAATAATACACATGACATGAAAAAAAAAAAAAAAAACCAAAAAGTGTGAGATTTAGAAGAGAATTTATCAGGAAATATTAAAACCATTAACCATGTTTAAACATTGCGTAAGAGCAGGAGAAGAGTGAAACTACTTGGTCGCCTGAGCAATTATATTACTAATGGAACTAGCCTCCTCTTTCGCAGCCTCCACCAATTGATCCTTCAATTATCAAACCACACATATCATTAACACACACCCTTAAGCACTAATCCTTTTTGTCTGAATGAGTAATGGACATTAAAATTAAGAAACCATATATATATATATATATATACCTGAGCTGATATGATCCTCGCCACTATTTTCTTGCTCGACTCTTGAAGCTCACCGGCGATCAACAGCTCATCCAATATATAATACGCCTAGACCAACAACATTGAGTTAATGAATCACTGCTTTTCACTTAGTAGGTTCTGCAGAGAGTTGTCTGTATGCATACCTTGTGGAAGTTAAAAATCAAATCGAGTTCACACACCTGAAGATCATAAGATTAAACAAATCCAAATCAAAGTCTTAGTCGTTTTGTGTAAGGTTATGGTAGAAATGAAGGAACAGATTTTGGATATGCGGTCACTCACACTGCCAAAGTAACGGTCAAGAATCTCGACGTAGTGATGAATAATCTCCAGTACCTCTAACTCGTTGTCCGCCTCATCAATGCACATGCAGAAGTACAGGCTTGCATATCTGAGTACAGAACAAACACACAACCATCATTTTCGCAAATCACAACCAATGTTTTTTTCTCAGTAGTGCAAGAATAAGCTGAGCATATAAAACATTGACTTAGGGTTCTTTTTTTACCTTTTGTAGACAACCTTGTATCCTCTCCATTCGATAAAATTGCAGAGCTTGGGACCTCGGTTCAGAATTACGCCGCTGAGTTCGCGTATGACCTGACCACATCATGTTTCCCAATGTAAGATCAAAGGCAATGCAAAGCATGAGCAGGGGTCAAAAGCTCTCAATCATTTGATCTTCGAGCTGTACATACCTTAGATCTTTCCTTTTGTGTATAAGGCGAATACCACTTGGTGAGCCTTACTTTTCCTTGCCGGCTAACTAGAAGCACAAAATGTATCTGGAAATACAAACATCAACCAAAGATTACTGAGAGCCAACTTTGAATTTATCTTTTCTCAGGATCATCTCATTAAAAACTTTTATTTAACAAGAGTCCTAACAATTTTACAAAACATCAACGTAGATGGTATTCCCCCAATTAAATCAGTATAGATGGCAAACTATAGCACATAATTGTTTTTTCCAGTGTCCAAGTTCATCAGTTCTCTCACCCATGTTAAGTTATAAAGCATATGATTAGAACTACAACTTTGAGAAGAATTATCATACAAGGTGGTCCTTTGAGCAAACAAGCCTACAAAGGACCAGTGAGACCAGCAGCATATAACCATTTCTGGCAACTAGTAAGGATTTGAAAAGCACACAATACGTAAGGCAGGCAAAAGAGGGAATTGTGAGAGATTAAGTAACAGAACTTGAAACTAATCTACCTAAACCGTCGCTGGCACAAGCCCAATTCAAGATGAGACATAGAACTAGCTACGAGTATCAATCGTATAAAAACGGGAACTAAATTACTACCACAGAAACGGGAAGCACGAAATGAATCTGGAAATACAAACATCACTTCATGATTACTGAGCCAAATTTTTCTTTTTCCAAAATCAACTCACTAAAAGCTTTTTCTTAACAAAAATCCTAGAAATTTGAGAAAGCACTACATTCATGCAACCAAAATCATTATGAGTGGCAATCTCTAGCGCATAATTGGGTCTTCCCATCTCCAAGCTCATCAGTTTCCCACACATGAGTGATATAGCATGAGAAATTCCATTTCACAAAGAGCAAATACTTATAACAGCTTTGAGGAGAAGAGAATTTTGCAACCACAAGGTCGTAACTGGCAACTCGTAAAGAATTTAAGAGCAAACAATACATAAGGCAGGCCAAAAATGGAACACTGTGAGAGATCAAGTAGCTGAACTTGAAATCCATCTACTTATCATTCATCTAAAGTGTCGCTAGCACACTACAAAAGCATCTCAAGAAAAGCTTAGAGAAGAAATATTTCAGTTTCCAACACATAAAAAAGCAAGACGCAACAAGATGAAAGAGATCCACGAGATTCTTTTGCCAATTTCAGAAACTAGAGGAACATAAAGAGAGGTGAGGCATAGAATTAGCTGGAAGGATCAATCCTACTAAATTTGAACCCAAGAAGCTACTAGAAACAGTGGTTTAAATGGATCGAGAGAAAACTTTCATTTGGTAACATAAATAAGGAATTCGAATTGAGTACAAAAACTTTCATTGACTTTTCCTTGCCGACTAACTAGCAGCACAAAATGTATCTGGAAATACAAACATCAACCAAAATATTACTGAGGCAACTTTGAATTCGTCTTTTCTCAGGATCATTTCACTAAAATTAATGGAATTTTTAGTCTCCAAGTTCATCAGTTTTCTCACCCATGTTAAGTTATAAAGCATATTTCTAGAACTACAACTTTGAGAAGAAGAGAATTTGGCAAGCATACAAGGTGGCTCGATTAAACAAGCCCAAAAGGACAAGTGAGGCCCGCAGTATAACACCATTTCTGGCAACTCGTAAAGATTCGAAAAGCACACAATACGTAAGGCAGGCAAAAGAGAGAGATTAAGTAACAGAGCTTGAAACCAATCTACTAACATTTACCTAAACCTTAGCTAGCACAAGCCCAAAGCATCTCAAGAAAAGTTTTGAAATTCATTTTCAGAAAAGTTTCAGTTTCGAACACAAGGCGATCATTTGAACCGAAGAAGCTAAATTTCTTTCACAGAAACAGAAGCACGAAATGAATCTTGTAAGTACAAACATCACTCCAAGATTACTGAGCCAACTTCAAGTTTTTCTTTTTTTCCAGGATCAGCTCATAAGTAGTAAAGCTTCTTCTTAACAAGATTACTATAAATTCGAGAAAACATTACCTTACATGGTATTCAACCAACCAAAATCATTATGAATGGAAATATAGCGCGCATAATTGGCTTTGCCCATCTCCAAGCACTCAGTTTCCTCACCCATGAGTGTTATAAAGCATGAGAAATTCTATTTCACAAAGAGCAGATATTTTATAAAACTACAATTTTATGGAGATCACGAGGTGGTTTTTTTGGAGTAAATAAACCTCAACTCGTAAGGATTTTAAGAGCAAACAACACAAAAGGCAGGAAAAAAATGAAAATTGTGAGAGACCAAATAGCTGAACTTGAAATCCATCTAAACTGAAGCTAGCACATCTCAAAAGCAGCTCAAGAAACGTTTTTGACCCATTTAAAGAGATATTTCAGTTTCCAACACATAAAAAAAGCAAGACACAACAAGATCCACGAGATTATTTTGCCAATTTCAGAAACTTAGAGGAACATAGAGAGAGGTGAGGCATAGAACTAGCTGGGAGGATCAATTCTACTAAATTTGAACCCCAAGAAGCTAAATTGCTTACACCAAATGGATCTTAGAGCAAAATTTCATTTGGTAGCATCAATAAGCAATTCGAATTGAGCAGTGAAGAATAACATTTCAAGCTTCACGAAAACAAACCAAATACTTTCGCTTTCTAGCAATCGCTTGACAGATCCAAACAGGAATCTATGACACCAGGCCTATCACATCAAATCCACTACCGAATCAAATCATAACTACACAGAGAGGATCAGAGAGATGCGAAATCTCAGATTCAAAAAGTTGTGCATCGTCGATAACACAATGGCACGAAAATCCACGGCAGATCCAAAAACTCGAAACGCATAAACGGAAAAATCAAAGAAGAGTAGGATTTGTTACCATGTTTAAACTCAAAATTGAACGAAGAATCTGTAAATGCTAAGATCGATTCACAGAAGAGATCCCCAGAAGCTGACGATCGTCGAAAGAATCGTTTGGTCCAGCACACACATAACAAATGATGAAACGACCCGAGTGACAGGGGTATAATGGTAATATAAGCATGTTGAGTACGGATCTTTGATCCGGGTCATCCGATTCCATATTAAGTTCTTCCCAATAATAATTTCATGAGTTTTACAAAACTCAGAAACTTGATGCTAAAGTAATTAAACCACATTGATCGAATTACTATGATATTGAGCTTCGTCTTCCTTTGGACATTTTCTTCCAGTTTTTTTTACATTGACTATATAAAACAAAAGCGACTGAAAGAACGAGTGATGATTCTACTAATACTTGTGTAGTGGAATTTGTAATCGATGAATGTACACAACACAAGTCACAAAAGTGTACTTGATATCTTGAATTTGCATTCTCCTCCTACTCCTTACTTCATCCTCTCCAATTACTTCATCTCAAGTGGCTAACAACTAAAACTCTTGAAGCAAAAGGAATTGAAAAGAGAAACCTCTGACTTTCTTGTTGATCCAAGTCTCCAGAAGCATACCAGCACCAATCCTAAGGATACGACCTTCATTTATCAATTAAGCACTTGTTCTTGCAGCAACATGAACTTGATCCTATGAGGCTATGAATCGGTTACTTGTAACTCACATTGTTCGATAGCGTCAAGTCTTGTCGTAAGGGCATTTGTCCTGTAGCTGAATCATGCTCCTGAATCTCAGCTACAGTTGTATAACAACCAAACCAACATCGCTGAATGTATGATCCGAATCTGAAAGCAGTCAGAAAGAAGCAAACTTGTTAATTTTATTAGCTCTGTATTTGTGTTTCAGAAGATAGGAAAAAAGAGATTGAAAACTCCATAAACGGTATCAAGTTTTCATCATCAAACTTACAAAGTTGGATTATGGATTCAGAGAGGTGATGACTGATTCCAGAGCAAGAAAAAAAACCCACAGGAAACACAATGTTTTGGTGTTGCAAGAACCTGTTTTAAGCAAACCGTAAGCGAAAAGATGATTTGGTCCTAAACAGTTTGTTTTTAATTCGTTAAAAAAATCTGATATACTTTGTAATTTTTACATCCGCTAGACATTAAAACATAAAGAAAAAAGAAAAAAAAGAGTTTGGTTCATGATGATGCGAAACACCAATCCAACAAATATCAAACGATCGTGTTAGTTTTTTTTATGGGCAAAAATATACTAATACTCTTAAACGATCTCACCTTCCTCAAGATCTTCTGGGTTTTCCAGAGATTCATCATCGTAAACTTCATCGTCGGTTCTCAAAACCAAACCAAAATCTTTAAACCATCTCCGACTTCTTGCGAGGCGAGAGTATCCACCGCATAGATTCACCAACTCCTCCGCGATTACCGAGTGATGTTGTTCGACTTTGGTTTCTCGTTCCATCTTCTCTAGCGCTTGTCGTTCTTTCAACCTAAGGGCTCTTCTCTTTGCCGCCGCTTCGATTCTAGCCTTCTCTTGAAGCTGTTTTCGCTCGAAAAGCTGCTCCTCTCTCTTTATCATCATCATCACTCCAGCAGAGCTTTTACTGCTCTCGTCGATCAGTTTCCTGTGCTTGGATTTGACGATGATATCTGCGAATCGAATCCTAATTGTTGCAGCGCGAAGAGCTTTGCTTGCGGGTGAGGAAGAAGAGAACAATGTCGCCATAACTTTGGGAGCAAGAAATCGTCCTTTTTTTCGTGGTCGAGTGTGTTTATGGAATGGGTTATGTATCTGGTTACGTTTTTTTAGTAAACCCTAGGCTGAAGAAAGGAAATCGAGTGTTTATGGAATGGATATTATGTGGGTAGTGTGGATTATATATATCTGATTACGTTTTATTAGTAAACCCTAAGCCGAAAAAAGGGAATGGAGGAAAAAAGGAAATAAGAAAAAAATGGAAAAAAAGGAAATCGCGTAGACGCGTACCGTTGTTAGTTTTAATTCAAATTTCACGTTATGGTTTGGTACAATTGGGATACATGAACCGGAAGGGGAGCATTGGTTTTCTCAAACGGTTTTATACACTCGGCGGGTTTAAGAAATTAAAATATCACTCATGTAATAATATATAAACAGTGTTAAATACAGATCTTGATCAGGGTCTCTCTCCAATTCATATAAAATTGTTTCCACTATTTCATAATTTTCACTCAATTTCATAAGTGTTTTTTACAAAATTCAGAAACTTGGTGCTAAATTTTAAAATCACATTGATCGAATTGCTATGATATATATAGCATCGTTTCTTTTGGACATTTTTTCTTTCTTTCCAACTTTTGCATTGACACTTTAAAATAGAAACGATCGAAAGAAGAGTGATTCTACTAAAATTCTCTTGTAGTGGAATTTGTAATCGATGCATCTGATGTACATACACAACAAAAGTCACAAATGTACTCCTTTACTTCATCCTCTCCAACTGCACCATTTTTCCATATTCATTAGCTTCATTTGTCAAACTCCCATATCACTCCTCCATCCTCTGCAACACCCCACACAACCCAAACCACATTTATTAGTACCTAACTCTTATCATGTGTACAATCATCACAACAACACAAATGCAAACACTACCACAATGATAAAACATAATGTTACAAAAAATCATGGCTAAATTCTCACAGCACCAACAGAACCATACCACACTGGTGAATTCGGCATTATCAAAATTATGATCAGCCGCAATCACATCTATCAATATTCGCCTGGCAAATGAAATTGAAACCCAGATGCAGAGAGGCTTATCCTAGTTACACTTAGTATATACCACACTGCCACATGACCATTGGACCCTAAGGAGCTCATCGCGCATTGTTACTCAAATTAGGTTCTATTTTCACCATAAATCAAACAGAGAATCAGAATAATAATGCATGTGGTTTCTTCACTATATCAATGATTTATTTTTCAACCAAGCACCAAGTGGCCAACTATTAGAAAACACAAACAATAATTAAAAGCAAATATACATGATCATTGTACTGAGGAGCTCATCACCAATCCCATTGCTACTCAAATCCTCCATATATCTAACAAGACCCAAACAAAAAATCAGAAACATGTCTCTGGTTTATTCACTCTATAGTCTATATCGATAATTTTATGATTCCCAATCAAGTATCAAGTGGCTAACAACTATAAAACTCAAACAATAATCAAACAAGTATATATGAACATTGGAACCCGGGGAGCTCATCCCACTGCTACTCATATTTATGTTCATTTCCTCCAGAAAATTGAACAATATAAAGCAGGAAAATGCCTCTAATTTCACTCAATCAAGCATCACAAGTGGCTAACAACTAAAACTCTAGAAGCAAAAGGAATAGAATAAGATGAACCTTTGACTTTCTTGTTGATCCAAGTCTCCAGAAGCATACCAGCACCAATCCCACCAAGGATGAAACTTCCATAGAAGGCAAGAGCCTTAGGCCAAGGCTTCCTGGGGAGGAAGTAAGCTTCGTATTTTTCCTCAAGTCCCCTCGGGATCTGTTTCCTCGCCCTCGTCACCGTTTTAGCCTCCGCACTTGGCTTCTTCTTCGCCTGATTCCCATTTCCCCACTCTTCTTCTCCTTTCCATGGATCCTTCGCTTCTTCACTTCCCATTGATCTCTCTAAATGAATTCATCCAAACACAGTCTAATTTAGAGTTTATAGACTAATTTAGAGTTTAATTTATAAGTCATCTTAAGGATAGTGACTCAAACCAATCAGGGAGACGAAGAGACTTACCGGTCAGAATTTAGAGTTTAGGGACACAAAGACGATCTCGACGATGTTCGCAGGTTTCGGAGATTTTGGTGAGGTTTCGACAAGAACGGGGAGAGAGGAAATCTGATGGTCATGAGACGATGAGACTTTTCTACTCAGATTAGATACGTACCGTTGGATTGAAACGTAGGAGATAATCCAACGGTCTAGGAGTGAGAGGAGTGAATGACAAAAATGACTTTACATAGTAATAAATAGATTTGGTAACTGAGTGAGTACAAAACTACATAGAGAGAAATCGATGAAGAACAAATCAAATGAGGTTAACAAAATTACATCAGTCTATTTTTGTTTCTTTTTTGGCTTTTTGTTGTTTTGTTTTATTTAACTGTCTTCGTGCTCCAACATCATCTGTTGACCTGAGACGAAGGGCCAATGTTTCTACTTGATCTATTGTACTTCATGTGGCTCTTCACAAGCTGTCCAGCTGCAATTGCAGACATTAGCGAAAGCTCTCCCGCAAGAACCGAACCAGCCACAATTCTCGCCAGTTGCCTCGCGTTCGAGCCAGCTTCCTCGTCTTCGTCGCTCGATCCTTTCACACCGAGCAGATTCAAACAAGCTGCTTGTGATGCAAGCTGTGTCCCACCTCCAACAGTACCAACCTGAAACACACACACAACATTCATCAGTTGTTTAATTTGGTCCTCACCAAAAACTAATGGCTTAGTGTGTTCTCTGCAACAATGCATTTAATTTACCTCAATGCAAGGCATCGAGACAGAGATGTGAAGGTCGTCGCCTTGAGCTACAATCATGGTTATACAGTGTGAGCTCTCCACGTTTTGAGCTGGGTCTTGGCCAGTGGCGATGAAGACAGCGCTTACTATATTGCTGGCATGAGCATTGAATCCACCAAGAGAACCAGCCATAGCCGAACCAGCAAGGTTCTTGAGCATGTTAAGCTCTACAAGAGCCTCTACGCTAGTCTTCAACACTTTCTTCACAATCTCACCGGGAATAGTTGCTTCACAAACAACATGCTTCCCGCGTCCTTCTATCCAGTTTACAGCCGCGGCTTTCTTGTCCGAACAGTAATTCCCTGAAACACCAATAATAATACTCAAAAAGAGCTGACTTTTGTTTCAGAGAGACTGAGAAAAGATGATAATAGACTGCAAACAAACCTGAGATGCCAATAACATCCATGTCAGGGAACTCTGCCTTTATGAATTCCAATACGTTCTGAACACCTTTGGAGACCATGTTCATCCCCATAGCATCACCAGTACTACAAGAGAACCTCGGGTATAGATTCTTTCCAGCAATCTTGCATTTGATACTCTGAAGCTTAGCAAATCTACTCGATCTACATATATATATATACAATCATGTTAGCAGAAACGTCAAAATCACTAAAAAAGGGATCAAATGTTTCAAGACTGTACTTGTTGAAAATGATGGACAATCTCTCGAAATTATCAGGATCTTGTAGATAAAACATGGCAAGAGCGGCTCTTCTTGCGGAAGGGAATCTGACGATTGGAGCTCTAGACATGGCGTCGTTCACTAAAACACTGAAGGCGCCTCCGGATAAGTGAATAGCCTTGCAGCCTCTATTGGTGCTAGCAACCAAGCAACCCTCTGTAGTCGCCATCGGAACAGAGTACTCAATGCCGTCGAGCAGCAGAGGTCCGGCGATTCCAACCGGAATCTGGATATACCCAACCGGCATCTCGCAGCACTGTCCCAAAATCGAATTGTAATCGAAGCCTTCCAATGGGAGACCGGTTAGGGATTTACCGGTTATCCTCTGAACCGCTTCTCGTCTTATCGCTGCGGCTCGCTTGCAGTCTCCGAGTTTCGTCTCGAGTGAGTAAGAAGGGATGGTTCCTTGGATCACCGATTTGACGATTTCTTCATCTTCCTCCGAATCGAGATCCGATTCACGAGGAGGATCGACTGAATTAGGTTTAATCGGGAGAGAACAATCAAGCGATTGACCGCAAGGGATCTTCCTCAAATCCTCATCGATCTCGTTGGCGGCCCAAACGTCGTCATCGGAAGAAGACCGGAAGAAAACAGACTGAACGAAGTCGACGCCGAAGAATCCGAGGAGGTAGATGCACGACGCGACGAGACCGAAGAGTGCGGAGATCTCCGATAAGCTAACGACGTGGAGAGGAGTCGAGTTACGGATCTTCTCGCGCCATCGGCTGAGAAGGAAATAGACCATAGCGAAGAAGAGCGAGAGGAAGAAAGTGTTGGTTAGGTATAGCGGGAGAGGAAGCGCGTCTGAGGCTTTGCGAGGAGCAGTGACGTTGGAGACTTCTTCGTCGTCGTTTTGAGGAGGAAGCTTGGTCGGGAATCTCCGACGGACATCCATTGACGGTGGTTGGATGATCGGACGGCGAGATTGTGAATAATTTTGGGCTCCAAAATTGTGCGCTGGCAAAAATAATAAGTTGGAGGTTATTTATAGTGAAAATGTGACATTGAAATCAACGTCAATGTTTAATGCTGTTGTGATTGATTCCATCATGTGAGAGAGAAGATGATTTGGTCTCCGTCTCGATCTAAGAAGATAACTACTTCTCTTTTATTCTTTCTACTTTTTGAAGGAGTGACAAAATTTGTTTACTACTCTCCACGTCGTTGATAACAATGATATGTCTAATACTACAAAAACATCAAAGGGGAACGGTGGCAATTTCTCACTATAAATTTATGTCCTCCATGCATTGAAATTGTCAATTTTGTCAAAAAATGAAAAGAAAAAAATCCCTTCAAAATCAGAATATATTATCGGAAATCTCTTATACACGAGAAGTTTCCAGGGATTGGGTTTTTGTTGATTATATCACCAATAATAATGTCATAAAGTATTTTGGATTCCCATGACGTCACCACCGAACATCCAAATAATCAAAACAGAGGAGGACAACGAATATCAGAAGGATGAATCACATGTAATTATGATGGATCCTATCAACAAGGCCTACAATTAAAAGCTGGTTGGTTAATACGAGATCACAATGGCAACTATATGGGTGGCGGACAAGCGACTACAACTATGGTATCAAACGCCTTGGAAAGTGAAGCTCAAGCTCTGATCATCACAATGCAGCATTGCTGGTCCAAAGGATATAAACAGGTTATGTTCCTCGGTGATTCACAAGTCTTGAAGAATCTCATTGATAAAAAAGAACTACAGTTTGGAATGATAAATTGGTTAAGAGATATATGATATTGGTCAACAAAGATCGAAGAAGCAAGTTTTACATGGAACACGCCAATAACCGAGCAGCTCATACATTAGCGGAATATAACAGTGATTGCAATAGTTCTTTAATCTATTTTGACAATGTTCCTGCTATGATAGCTGGGTTTTTACAACAAGATCATTAATAAAATATGATTTGGGAAAAACAAAATGTGGTAAAAATTTGACTTTACTACTTTTTTTTTATAGCGCAAAAAACCTCTAATTTCTTTATATACTAGGTGTTTTCCTGCATATTATGCGGAATTTGATAAAATATTTTAAAAAGTAATAATATTAGTTTATTTATAATAAAAGAAAATTAGATTTTATAATTATTTGAAATCAAAATTAATATGTTCAAAAAATACAATTTTTATGAATATATTATTTTTGTGACAAACCAAAATATACTATTATTTATATCTTATTTTTTAATATTTTTTATATTATCTAGTAAAAACTTATATGTATGCTATGTTGTTTTGTTGTATTTATTAAACTTGATAAATAATCCTTTTCTTTTGATATAAATTGATATATTAAGATTAATGAAATTTAAAGTTTATACACAAAAAAAAACAATCCAAAATAACTAAAACCAAATGATACTTGTTTCATATAAGCTTAACATTAATTAATATATATAGAATTTTAAAAGAATTTACAGAATTGAAACTGTTGCAAAATTTTTTTTTTAATAATTTAGAATTTTACTTGTGGCTGCATAAATCAATTAAATTAGTCAAAAATATTAATAGATTAAACAATCAAATCAATATTAGTATAAAGAAATAATAAAAAAAAATAATTTTTTTTATGAATATATTGTTTTTGTGACAAAGCAAAATATATTATTTTCTAATATCTTTTATATTATCCGGTAAAAACTTATATGTATGATGTTCGGGAGCAAATTTCGGTATGCCATGTGGAGGTTGTGATTCGTCAGGGATGGAGCCAAGTCTCCGAGTTCCGTCTTCTTAGAGGAAGGCGGCGAATCGTTGTTCAGGAGTGGAAACTCCCTGTCACGAGGTGACGGAGTATGCGCCGTGTTCGATCCTGTAAACGCTTAAACAAATGTCAGGCGAGCTTTCGGGGGACCGAAAGGAGGTTTCTCTCTCGAAGGTTTTCTGACGCCCAAGTCAGTAGACATCCTACCGGGAACAGGTACTCGGGAGGAGAGTTTTCTACGTGTTAGTCGTGAGGAGACTCGTCCGAGAATCGAGACTCCTATCTGGTTTAGAGTGTTTTAGGAGAGATTTCTACTCGTCGAAGGGAAGACGAAGCAGATATAAAGGCGAGGTTCCGAGTTGGGGATAACTTAACCTGGTCACCATTCACCCAGGAGGAACATGAAGTTCGCCCGTGATCCTGCTGCATGGCCAGGAATATTGCCTCAGATATCAGAAAGTAGACATTTCCGATCACCTTGGTCGCCTTGGCCTTTTCTCTTCTTCGCCTCCTTTCTCCTTCTTCGCCTCCTTTCTCCTTCTTCGCCTCCTTTCTCTCATTCGCCTCCTCCGCCTCCTATTTATACTCGTCGTCCTCTTGTCATGTCCCCTCCAAGTGGCGCGCCCGAGGAGCAGGTGGGAGTAATGATTATGTCGTGTTAGGAGAAACCCGCTAACTGCCCCGATACAGTACGCGGGAGTGGGTCGGCCGAGTTAGCGTGGCGTGTGTCAGCACTCGATGTACCCTAGGTCCACGTGGTAAGTTCTCCTTCGACCCGGTAAAATGGGTCCCAACAGTTGCCCCCGACTTCTCGCCTGATCCATGGATAAGTCGGGGAGTCGAACCCTCGTTAATTCCCTATAAAACGAGCATGATTATCCGATTCCCTAGTTTTTATGCTGCTTATGAGCTGGTTTGACGCGGCAACCTTGCCACGTACCGCGGGAGGTACGGTACTGGTCTGGGCGAAGCTAAGTTCTAAATCATAACAAGAGACTTAAAGACTCATTGGAGCCGTGCCGCGCATCCCGAGAGAATGCGGTTCTAGCTAGATGATCCGGACCTCCGAAGAAGCTGAATAGGGTATCGACTTCGGCCTTGGTGCGCTCCGCGACGAAGGGCGCCTTTAGCCCAAGGAGTAGTCTGAAACAGACTCTCAACCCCGACCTTATTCGTTTGTCCCGAAGGAGCACGTTATTGGTCGAGGGAATTGTTTTCCACGGAAGTGAGCCGTAGGGCAGCACTTATTAGGTGTCAACTTCGATCTTATTCGTATCCGAGGGAGTACGTTATAGATCGAAGGAATTGCGCTTCCGGAGGAAACGAACCGTGAGACGGTCAGATGAGATACATATAGAGAGAGTCGCCCAGTCTACGTTACGCATCCGATGGAGTACGCTGTTCGGCCTAGGGAGTTTAAAATGATGGGGTCCTATCCTGACTGGGGCGTGCATCCGGGGAAGTGTGACGCTTGCTCAGAGTAGGAGGATAGGCATTTCCGAGGGGAACTGATAGTTTTGGCCACTGGTGGTCATCTTCCTGGAAGGATTTTACTCCTCGTTTTGTGAGGGACTAAACGAGAAGCCATATTACCCTCGCTCATCAGGGTCATGAGCGAGATTATAGTCTTGTGTGATCATGGAAATCGGTACAAGGCAACAACGCGGGCTAAGACACCGGGCCTAGGACCAGAAGGTGGGAGTCACTACTCGAATGCAGCTGGTGCGGAGTAGGGCGTTTCCCGAGGACGTTACCTTGACTCTCTTACTGCCTGGATAGCCTTCGCGTTGTGTTTACGCGGAAATTGGTGTGTTTTGGAGAACGTGCTAGTGACATACCCTGGAGGAGAAGAGGTCAGGAAATTATCAGGAAGAGAAAGCCTGCGAGTCTGCGACCTCAATTTCTGTTTTGTCTAAGTGGCAAGCGTGTCCTAGTGAGGAGCACACTGGTTCGCCGCTCGGTCCTTTGATGGAGACTGGCGGGGAAGATCCGTAGGTCTGAGAGGCCTGAGCTCTAGGATCCGGGAGGGGGGGGTCCTGTCCAGGGACGAGCGAGTTTGCGAGAAAGCATGCTCAGGGTGTGCGCGGTCTCCGCTGAGGGGGCTGGCACGAGTGGGGCTTTATAGACCAGAGTCTCGAATTCCCGGAGGAATAGTGTCTCGGAGGGCGAGCGAGTCCATGGGGGAGTACACCAAGAGAAGGAGATTATAGATACTATTGAGGAGAAGAAGCATCCGGCTGACGCACGGGCAGAAAATCAAGCAAGCGAGCAAGCAGGAAACCAAACAAACAAGCAAGCAAGGAATCAGACAATCAAGCAAGCAGAAAATCAGACAATCAATCAAGCAAGAAATCAGACAATCAATCCAGCAAGAAATTAGGCAACCTAGCAACCAGGAAATCAGGCAATCAAGCTAGGAAACCCTAAGCGGTTGGGACCTTGTCAGGGTCAGTCGCGCTTCGGCCATGGTCGCGGGTACCGTAAAACTCATCGCAGGGCCCGTGCTACCCGGACGGTTACGTTCGACTCGCAGGGGCGGCCGTGCTCCGTCCCGGGGACGGCTTCTCCCGGGTAGCATGCTTGCGGTTATTGTGGGGGCATGAGATTCATACTGTCGCGATCGTGTGTCAATTAATTTTCAGAAGACCCTCGGTAAGATCGGTTATCTTCTTTCGAATGTTCCTGCACAAATCTTCGGGTCCCGGCGAGTGAGATCCACGTGGCAAACCCCTGGTGATTCGAACCATACCGCGTCACCTCATGCCACGTGCGCCGCTTCCTCGAGAGCCACCGATTGTTTTTTCTACTGTGGCCGGCTCCTATTCTCTCTCTTCACATTAAATGCGCGTCACTTTCCACGCACGGCTTGAGAGACTGATAACTATTTCTCCACTGACTTTTGGCTATCCACGACAGACGCGATTCCTCTCACGTACCTCTTCGTCTATAAAATCAGGAAACTCGCAGTTCCGCAGTTTCATTCTATTTTGGAGCAAATCTCAGAACTCTCTTTTCTCGAACTGCTCTTTCTTTTTCCCATCACACACCTCTCTTCTCGTTTTGACTGAGATGTCAGCTTCAATTTTGTCGTTCGACGTGTGGTGTCCTTGCTTCTCAGGGGTCGGCGGTTAAATCCGGGATACCGCCGGGATGTCTTCAGAACCAGTCCCTGCCAACTTTCCGTGGGCTGGGGGCGAGGCCGAGGAAATCGCTGGAGTACCTTCAGTGTCCAATCCTGCGGATCGCCCTCCTTCTACATGCACGCCGGACTTGCTAGAGAGAGTCCTTTCAGCCAATCTACCTTACTCTTTTGGGATCAACGCCATTTTCCTCGGCAAGTAGGACCGGGCGGACCGGCCTCCATGGTTCTGCATCACGATCCACGATAACTACTTCCTATATGGCTTCAGAGGCAGCCTCCCACGGATGGTGGTCGACTTCTGCTGGTTCGTCGACATCTGCCTCAGCCAGCTCCACCCTTCCGCCCGGGGTTCCTCTGCGCCTTCCAGGTCCTCTTGGACTTATCCGGGGTTTGAGTCCGCGGCTCCACGGTGCTGCTATCCTACCAGCCCTGGAGCCTGACTACCAATGCTCTCTGCTATACCCCGTACACCTGGGACGGGCGCACTGCCACCGCTCCAGGAGCCGCAACTGGAGGGAGCGGTATATCTTCTAGACGGTGCCGCCAGAAGTTAACGTCCAGCTCACCTGGATGCCAAGGGATAAGATTCTTCTACTACTGCTGTCCTTTTTTCCTTCGAGTTCAGTTCGTCAGCCATACTCTCACTGTTGTCTCGTTTTCTCTTTTTTCAGGCTCCGGAACAACGGCTGCCTCTGAGCGAGTTGATCTACACCGCTTGCTTGGGATCCCCAAACGGTTCCGGTCGTTCGACTTCCTGCTATCTCCGCCGAGCATCGAGACGAGCTCACTCGTCCTACCGTCTGGCATGACCCCGAATGTCTCAGGTAGTGACTCTGACTCTTCTGCCCTCAGTCTCGCGCTGACTCCCTGATTTTCACTTGTGGGTCCT